AATAAAATAAAATCTTCTAAAAGGAAATCTACGTATATTTCTCAATAAATTTTGTTTAAACATGAAAATAAATCAACTTTTAAAAATACATACAGCTGATTCAAATCATTAAATTAAACCTAACAAAACACTAGCGCGCGTAGTGAATAAATGGAGAACTAATTGAGAGCGAGGGAAAGTAAATTTAGAGCGAGGGAAAGTAAATTTAGAGCGAGGGAAATCAGCTGATCGATTTTCCCTCGCTCTAAATTAGAGCTTGGGAAATGACTACTTTCATTGATGTCAGCTGTTATCGAAAATAGTTACTTTCGTTACGGAGTGATGAAAAAATTATTTTAACGAATTGATTTCTTTATTTCCTAACTTTAGACAATAAGCGCAAACACATAAACACGTGCTGTGAAAAATATGTAGCTTACACTAAATTCATAATACAAGAACGACTCCCGGATGAACAATAGTGCCTATACCATTTCATCTAGTCCTAATGTCCTAATCATAGCATTTAAACGAAAAATTATATTTTATCTTTGTTTGTAACATACAAAGTTTTATATTTCCTATTAAATTTCGTTATATAGTAAATATTGTAAATTGTTTGTTGCTCATTTCATAATCCAACTCCTCTAGCTTTTGGGCGATTTCACCTGTAGGGCGCCGTCCGGTTAACATCCGCCAAATGTTACCACTGGCGTTCACGGCCGTCTTCAGTTTGTTGACCAACCGTAGTTTCTTTCGCCTCTCTTTTCTGGCCAACGACCTTCTGGCCATTGTGTTGGCGTTGAATGTTGGTCGCCTCCTAACAGTGGAGACAATAGTCGTAGTGCTCCTACGACCAGGGCACGAAGGGGTTCCCGGCGACCTGTGAATTCTAGTCGAACTCGAACTTCTGGGTGTCCCTGAAACGGGTTGACAAACACCCGAATGGGGCGTCGTTGACCTCGGTGGCGAATAAGTTTGCCCGTAGGGTGGCGAATATGTTTGCCCGTAGGTCACGTTGAACGGCGTGCTGGTCGGTTATTGAAGTTCAGGGTTGGCCCAGAACGAGCAACCAGGTGGCGGTGTCGCGATGGTAGGAGTTGGTCTTGACGTCAAACCTAAGGATGGTGGAGACAACGCAGCAGGACTTTGAAGCACCACCGCTGTGGCAAGATTGGCCATTTCACCTTCCTCCACTATGTCAACGGGGTCAACGACAAACGGCAGTTGTGCCCACGGTTGCGAGAGGTAGGTCTTCATCCATGTCGCCCAAAGGCCCGTACAGACGTACCAACGGTTTCATGCTACATCGACAATAGCAAACTTCCCGTGCTCCAATTCGGGAAACTGTTCACACCTGCTTCGAGGTTATGCAACCCTTCACTCTTGACCAGTCGGGCCACAGCCTGCCACTGCCCCTTCGTTTCCTATTGTTCGGAAGAACATTGAGCGTATCCATCAGCTTCTTATAAAACCAGATCGCCGTTCAACGTAACATACGGACAGACGTATTCGCCACCCTACGGGCAAACTTATTCGCCACCGAGGTCAAGGACGCCCCATTCGGGTGGTTGTCAACCCGTTCCAGGGACACCCAGAAGTTCGAGTTTGACTAGAATTCGCAGGTCGCCGGGAACCCCTTCGTGCCCTGGTCGTAGGAGCACTACGACTATTGTCTCCACTGTTAGGAGGCGACCAACATTCAACGCCAACACAATGGCCAGAAGGTCGTTGGCCAGAACAGAGAGGTGAAAGAAACTACGGTTTGTCAACAAACTGAAAACGGCCGTGAAAGCTAGTGCCAACATTAGGCGGAAGTTAACCAGACAGCGCCCTACAGGTGAAATCGCCCAAAAGCTAGAGGAGTTGGATTATGAAATGAGCAACAATCAAATTACAATATTTTTCCTACAGTCACCCGACAAAGTTGGCTTCCCTGTACTGTTTATAGTACAGAAAGCTGCTAATTGCTGCATATTTATACTTTGCCGTACGGTTTATACTTTGCCGCACATCAGGATTCCAACGAAACAACACAAAACAGCGTGGTTCCATTATGCACGTAATCCGTGTACGCTTGGAAATAGGTTGGCAACACTTAAATATAATTATACTATGAACAGCTGATTGACTATTATAACTATGATTTAACCTGTCATTTCGTGTTTATAGTTTCGGTATTTCTGAACTTTCTGGACTTTTCTTTTAAACGTTTTTAAAACCTTCCTACGATCTTAATAAACAAGAAAATACCTTTTAAGCATTTTTTTTTTAGGCGCGGAAACCAATTAAAATTACAAAAACATACGGAACTATATTCTCAAAACGCGGAGCACATTTCTTGCCGAGGAAAAATAGCGGAGTGATATGGACCGCGGGTACTACTTTCTCTAGGGCACCATTTGTGTTGCCAGCTGAACCTAAAAACGTGTTGCATAGTGTTTGAAAGACTAATTATTTATATGCTTTATAGTGACTGTAGGAAAAATGTAATGTGTAACACGAGTGAAAAAGGCCTTTGCTGCACTCGAGATCATTCCACACTCGCCTGCGGCTCGTGCGTAAACATTGCTCTCGTGTGCAGCAAAGTGCCACTTTCACCACTAGTTACACAAATAACTATACTATATAACGAAGTTTACTAGGAAATATGAAACTTTGTATTGTTACATTACAAACAAAGATAAAATATAATTTTTCGTTTAAATTCTATGATCAGGGCATTAGGACTAAATGAAATGGTTTAGGCAATATTGTGCATCCGGGAGTCATTCATGTATCATAATGTGTTTGCGCTTATTGTCTAAAGTTAGGAATTAAAGAGATCAATTCCTTAAAAGTTTTTTTAGGATCTGAAAAAATCCATAAAAAGTTAGATCCGGACCTACAATCCACAACAGTCATTACACACAGAAGGCAGGTCTTCCAACTCTATTACCGCTAAGAAGTGCTATCAAGAAAATTAATTTTCATCTTCTTCATATCATTTTCATCTTCTTCATATCATAGTCATAGTGATTTATATAATTTCTTATTTTGATCGTACCAGTGTTTCTATGAAAATCTATATACATTTTCAAATACATAAATTAGAACGAGACCCAATTTTCAAGAATTGTTGTAGTTTGTTGTGCTATAACTATGAGTGGGAACCTAAACTTAAAGACGACTATCTGCGAAAAGACAAACGGTAGATGGTCTTACATACATTTCCCTACCGTCACAATATAACTTTAACGTCAGACAATTCCCTAGCGACACAATATGTCCTTAATGCCATATATTTCCCTACTTTGCAAAATCATCGAAATTTCATCCGATTCTATCAAAAACTTTACAAGTTTGTTAGCACAATAGGACCGGTAAGCTTTGAAAACCCAACGACATATTAAAATACAAGGACAACCTCTATGGTTGGTAAACTTTAGAAAGACACATTGTCATTAAAATTGAAGTATACTTGGACATCCAATTCAAAAAGCCTTAAATCTTTTTCAAAGAATAAACCTTAATGATATTTATTATTTTGGAAACTTTGCGATGTTGCTGTATCCGATTGCATCTAAACATTTAAACACTTTTGTCCAACATTATTTTAGTACGTTTCATAAGATTATATGTATGAAACACTTTATCTTTACATTAGGCGAATTAAAAAGTATTTGTCCGCTAATGTTTCAATCATAATTTGGGTTGAATTTATGTCCCATAAAATTACAGCGAATTTATTAAAAATAGGTAACTGAACGTGTTTATACCTCTTTAGTTTCATGAATCTCAAAAATATAACTTAACAAGTAGCTATCAAAAAAATTTCCCAAACAAAATTTTGACGAACCGATAAGTTAGTTCGTATTTTCGCTGAAAAAATCTGTCGACAATCATATAAGTATGCTATAGCATAGCCAACCACTATTTTAATCACATGTTTTGCAAAGTAATGCAACCTAAATTATTGGCCTATAGAGGTCTAAATATAATGATTATACATATTTTTGGTTTACTGTATTTTAAGCGGAACAAAAGTATTACTAGCCATTTATATTTGATATCATTTAAACAACATATTACTCATTGATATATTTTTGAAACACTAAATCACTTTAATCTAAAAAAAACCTTTATTGTTTACCTCACGAAACTTATTATATGTTATGAATCTCAAAGGTTACATACATGAAAGATAGCAACGAAGCAATGTTCTGTATGAACAGTTTCCTTGAGCACACAAGCTACAGTTCATGAGTCGGCCTAGTGGTGATGGCTTGCTAACTACGTGCCAGGAAACTGGGTCAGTAAAGCAACTGAATGTAGTGTATTCGCTTAACATTCAGGTGCGATTCAAACCAATGCAGATTCAAAATTATCTAATGCTGCATTCACGACATACTGTGAACAATGTTACGCAGTATGTACTTAGATGATTTATTTTATTAATTTACTGGTACACTTAAAATGGTTAGCCTATACCCTTTTATTTTGAACACTGCTTCCAGTGTTCAAAATAAAAGGGTTTAGACATCAAGACATCCCGTTTAGACCATCTGTAGCCAATAATTGTTATTCACAAAACACATACTGTAGTTGAATAAGCCTCTAACACAATGCACTAGTTGTAAATTAATAAATAGCCCACATCGAGTAAAAGTATGATTGTTGGTGTGGCATAAGCTTACTGTAGTTTAAAATAAGTTGTCCTCAATTAGCTTGGTTGAAGGTTATGGGACAAATGCATTCCAAAGCAGTACACTTTGTCGGTTGTTTGAATCAACTACGTACATAAAAAAACTGGCTAACAATTTAACATGGTAATGTGATGTATATAATTTAATAAACAGTCAATGAGAGTGTCTAATTTATCTGAAATAGTTTATATCAAACTACCTTTACAGCCCCGACGTCTATATGTACTTAGGCCAAGAATCTATATAGATTAGGCCAAGAAAACACAACTTTCGGAGCACAACACGTTTTTTAAAGCATTTAAATAAGTTAAAAATGTAAAAATCGCTCAATCTTACCTTTATCAATATACTGATAGTAGTCCTCCGGTCTGATAAGGGTGGTTCCTGCCGTCGTGGCATTAGACAAGACCTCCATGGTAACAAGGGTGAAGTAACTAAGGACAAGACGCACCTTACTGCTACCTCATCTGCCCACCAACTGCTGAGATCAGTACAATAGATTCATAAGGTCCATTTTGGCTCTCCAAGACCAATTGTTTGAAAAACTCTACCCGGAATCAAGCCGGTCCAGTTTTTATTGTTGTGTGCAGTTTTTGTTTTATCGAAGGCTGTGCACAATTTGGCACGACGCGCTGCTAGAGTGACTTTCGGTTGAGTTCTACTTGGCTGTGACGTACAAAGAAGTTTTTTGGTAGAAAGAGTTTTGTAGCGATGGTTGAATAGGTTATAAAGGTATGTTTTGCCAACTGTTTTCCGGTATTTAATTTATGATTAATTGGTTGAGTTAACTGAAAGTGCCCTTTTCGTTTGTAGTTCAACACTGCTTTTAAGACAATTTTAAGGGCAATATAAGTATTTTAGACAACAGATTGTGTAATTAGTTATCGAAATCCTAAACAATAGTATAAGAAGTAACTCTATTCCTTGTTTTCGGGACGAATTGCATTGTACCCGGGCCATTCGTACAACTATATTTTCAACAAGTAATTTTAATAGGTTTTCTGAACACGTTTGCTTGCTAGAGAATCACATTAAGAAACTTTAGTTCACTCGGCTACGATCTGTTAAGTATCTTCTTATATTTTTCCGGAATAGGAGATAATTAGAGTAGGGCTTTAGAGTGATATTTAATGACGATCTATCAATGACAACGGTATAACTATGGTACCGATATGCAAATTTTGTTTTCCTTTAATGTTGCTGTTATTTTTGTTTTAAAATAACCATATGTTAAACAACCATACAGTATATACATGTCTAAATGTACTGTCTCTCTTGGACAATATATTTAGGAATTTCAACACAAAAATTACTACCACACAGTTTTGTTATCAAATTAAATACATGCTCCATATTAGCACGTTATTTATCATAATCCTAATAACACAAACAAAGTATCGCACACATATAATATAGTTGTGTAAAGGTGTTCTTAAATTTAATTCCCTTCCATTTTTAGGTATAAGGGCGTTTAGCATGTAAGATTTCATTTAAAAACCTTATCAAATAGTCTGCATTGCTGTTGGACGTATGTATCTTCAAAAACTCCGCATTCTCTTTGCTGTCTTCTAATTACGAAAGCACACTGCTAAACACCTTGAAATGAAAGCTTCAAATTAGTTTGCGCAAACCCGGGAAATCTACTGCTCAAAACTAAGCGAAACACCCAACAATAATTGCCACTAACCAAATGCAAAGCGTCTATTATAGATTTTGTATACATGTTAAAATGTGTGTTATTAAGACTATTGTGAATAAAGTGTTATTTCGTTAACAAGTAATAATTTAAATAATTTAAATAATTTGAGCGTGGGCAAATGTGATTTTTTTTAAATTGTGGCTTTTTTACTATTTAGTTGTTTTGGTGGTTGAATGATTAATAACGATATGTTTTTTGGACAGCCTGTTTACAAATTAATGCCAATAAACTTACTATTACATCTCATAAGCAAAACTAGTTATGGTAGAAGACAGCATTTAACATTTCAACAACTCAACACTCAGAGAAAGATTAAATTCTGACCAATGTATTTTACTCATTGAATAACTTCTTGATCAACATCGTACGTGTTATTACATTACCTGAAAAAAGATACACGTCTAATAACACTAGTAATAATATATTTACACTTATACTGTTGAGTTGACTCAAAAGACTAAAGCTCGCCTATTGGGTCTGATGATGATTAGCGTGTCCAATCGAAATCGATCACCACTTACCATCTTCCATGTGTATTTACCGTCTTGTGAGTCAACAGTATAAGTGTAAATATATTATTACTAGTGTTATTAGACGTATATTTTGTTTTTTGTTTTTACCAATTCAAGCGTGTTATAAATACCCGTTATTTGGATCGTTCATAGTCAAGTTACCTTTGTAGATACTATGAATAAAAAATCACGTAAAATGTATTAAGTATGTATGGGTAATGGAATCAGCCATATACTGAAATATTGACTTATATTCGGAGCATGAAAACAGGCGTGGATCTATGACAAGTACAACAAGTAATTGTGTATTCCCTTTACTCCTCTAGGAAAACATTCTAACAAATAACTAAATAGTGAATGTCAGCACCAATTATATTAATTCTACTATGTATTTTGGTTTATTTTTACATAATTATAAGCTGCATTATACGTTGCCACGTGCAGGGCACAGCTATTTCAGACTGTTCAGGTGTGTTTTTCAGAGATAAACAATCTGTGAATCCTGTCCCACCCTCAGTCCGAGATGCTAACCAGAAGGCTATTCAAATCAAATCAAATCAACATACTTTTATTCCAAAAATTAAACAGTACAATAATAGAACAATACATTACATGGAATTATTCCCCCGGAGAGACTGTTGATCTGTGGTCGGGGGAAGAGTTCTTGTAAACCATTGTTAGGCAATATACGAAGTATTTAAAATTTGTTCGATGCTATTACCTACATCTACTAAAAATTAAAAAAGACAAAGACCTTTATAAATTGAATATTAGAAAGGAAACCCCTAATTTGATTTGAAATTATTATTAATCCATACAATCTGTTTTAATAAGCAAAATTGTAAAATATTTAAGCTACGAAACGTAGAGTGGTTTCTACAAACAATGGGGTTGTATTAATTAAACTTGGTCCCACTTACTTACTCCATGCCCTTACTCGTGTGGCCAATTGAAAACTAAGGCGGTCTTGGGCCTCGCCAACCATGTGCTTCCAGGATCCTCTGCCCTCTGCCAGCTCCAGGTCTGCTCCCATACTCCTTAGGTCCTTTCTAGCTTCGTCAATATATCAAATGTTTCTAACTTTGTCCCACTACATTAAAATAATGTATTTTCTTCTGTAGCTTGTTTGAAAGTTTCAAAATAAATCACACAAGGCATAACACTCCACTCTACACTCATCCTTTACTCATATTTTTGTTAACAAACTCACATATACATGGCAGTAATAACAACACTAATAATAATAAAAATCGTAATATTACTTCAGTGTTAGTGGTAGATTATCAAACCATTCATCAAGAATCGTATAGTGTGATATTTTCAAATTTATTTGAGAAATTTTCTGGAATATCTCATTAACTAATAAGTTTGCAATGTAGTTTATTAGAATACGAGGAACCATCGTAAAATCCATGGTAAATAATGAAGCTCTTATTCGACGAACCAACGATTCACAGAACTATAAAAGTTTCGCTGACTTGTACGTGATTCTATTATTTTCATTAAGGCTGATGCATTGATCAGTAAATGTCTGCAAAGCCGAAGATGTGAAGTCTTTAAAAGATTTAAAGCCACTATCAGACTCAAAATGGCCAGCTACTGTCCCCGCAGCGCCGCGTTCATCACTGTTAGGGCTCGTCTTTCTCTCTCATTGTCATTTACTGCACACTGTTCACGACAGTATAACACCCTTTCGTGTTAAACAATACTGTATTTTTAACACTAAAATATATTGCAGACATGCACATTCGTTGACTCTAAACATGTACAAGAGGAGGTTATTGCACTCTAGGTCATTGCAAGTACAATAAAAATGTATTTTATGGTTAAAAATTTTAACTATAGGTACAAACTACACTCTTGGACTGATAACCATAATCTTAACCATGCGAAGTAGTAAATTTTCAACACTCAATGATTCAATAAAGATAAAACTATGAATGACAGTAGCATACGGTGTAAATAGTATGGATTATAAATAAACGATATCAGCAATCTGACACATACTTGCTCCCATTAGCTAGTCAACAACCTGTATGCCCCTATAAAAATACTTATGACCAAGAGATGAAAGTAAGCTTTTTATGGGGAAACCATACATATCGCTATATCATTTAGACAGTTTTTCATAGCATTAGGGGTTGACCCATTTTCTTTCTAGTAAAAGAACCATAACAAAAATAATTTAATAAACATCGTTTAAGCTATGAGTGAAAATCCATTATCTTATGAATTTATGAAAAAAAAAAAACATTAAAAAAATAAAAATTAAAAACACCTGATAAAGATACAGATTAGTACCCACTTACCAAATATTATGTAAATCGGACCACAGATACGGTCTGCAGTTCTGCACACACAGACACCATTTTAGAAACCATTTTTCGAGTTCAGGGGTCCTGAAACGGATAGTTTTACCCAAAACTGAAACTCGAAAGCTATTACGGCAACAATACTTCCTCCAGTTTAGGGAGAGAAAGTGGAAATGGTCTATATCATGGAAATAGTCCAATTGCATTTTTATTTAAAAGCGTACAAGTAATAACAATTGGTATTGCGTAGTATTTAACCATTTTAATGGGAAGACGACGGGGTAAAAATAACCACCTCACAAAGAAACATGAAACTGAATATAAGAACTTTAGCTTGGGAAGTTAGATATTGGGAATCATAAACTTTAAATTCGTCAGTAATTTAATACTGCTAAAACAATAAAGGAGGTTAATCCTTCTGGTAAATTCAAGTTTTTGAGAGTAAGTGATAAAGTCAAGGAGGTAAAGCCAGAATAGTTATGGTACAATACAACACGCATGGTCAATACATTCGAAAAACAATGCAACTGAAAGTATTTTTCTACCCCATTAAATTCACCGGTTCACACCCCATTTTATTCTAACCGGTAAAAGTACCCATTTAAAAGCTCAACATTTGACGATCCAATGTATTTTTATTCGAGTGTGGCTCCAAATGCAGTTTTGAGGTCTTAAGCAGCATTATAACAAAAAGCAGTGAAGGTAAACCCAGAGGCAACTACAAGATTTACAGGCGACATTAGTAAACCCAGCCTCTGGGGGCCGGACCGGACACAAGTTATACTGTCACTGTCACAGTGCCATCTTGTGTTTCTTTTTTGTTAGGACTTTATTTGTACTATCTATTTACTGTACAACTTATAATAAAATACGTATTATACATAGTGCAAGAGTATTACTTATTATATACATTTCGTAAACTGCCATGTTGAATACAAT